TGCCGGTAATCGGGGTGACATCTTGGGTTTTGATTATGATCTTTTGAGTTGACCTTGGAAGGTGTTTTTCCATCCTAGGCTGGATGTATGCATGGCTTTCATTTCGGGCCTTTCTTTTGCTGAAAGCGTTCTTGTGTCATTATTACTGCTTGACTTTTTTCTCAAACGTCTTGAAGTCAAACCGTTTCAAATAGAGCAAAACGGACCGCGTGTTTGCTACCAACAGGTTGTGCTTGACATCGAAGCCCACTGAATAAAACCAGAGTTCGACGTTCAATCCGGAAATGTACGTTTACGCTTATGTAGGTATGCTCTTTGCGTATGCTGTCATACAGTGCAGGTGACTCCCACATGCCTTTTTATTCCAAACAGTCTCATCAGATGGTAACACTCATTTGGGCTCCCTTACAAATCTTAATGTGAATGTAAGACGATTTGAGCCTCAGCTGCCAGCTATTGCAAGGCGCGACATACGCGCCATCTGGTCTAGTCTATATGTACCTTTAGTACAACCGGGTACACCAGATGTCTGCTATGGCTGGTTTAGTGGCTCCATGCTCACAATACTTCTTCACAACACTTCACAGTGTTCCCAGTAAGCATGCCTCTTTGATAGGTCAACAAGCTTTTGGAACTAGGTGGTCTGCATGTGATGATCCTATCATGTCAAACGGCCCTGGACCATTCCGCTGTTTCGGTGATGACCTCGAGCTAATTGTGTCTACCTAAAAGTATCCGAATACCAAACGAATAAACAAAACTATTCTTATGGAAGCACGTTATCTCAAACGTGTGTTAAGGTTGCGTCGCAATGGGAGCTCAGTTTCAACCTAGATTGTGGACATATGGCTTGGAGCCCTCGCGCGCTAAGCCACCCGTTGTTGCTGATTTCTGGCTCCAGCTCAGTTACGGAACAATTGGTGAAGGTGGCCGCCATCCGGTGTTCGCCTACCTCGTGAGTAAAAACGGCTCCAATTCGACGAGACTAACCAGTGCCGTCACGTGACGCTGTGTGGCTAAATCAGTCCGCGAACCGTCAATCGCGGTACGTGTTACTCTGACAACAGGGCTCGAACACCTGCGTTCGGGAGCTCCAGCGCCACCCGGATGTCAGTTATTGCAATCCAATAATCCGTGCCTGGCTCCAGGAAGGTTGTGACCTTTATCTTTATTGATCGGTGGGTCTAGTTAATTGGCCCCACTGGGAATGATGGGGCGAGGGAGGCGAGGAAGGACCCAGCATCGCACCCCCGTTCGTGTCGTCCGTCGGAGCGCATCGACCAGTTAGGCCTCGAGGAATGCCAAACCACCCACCAACGCTTGGCACCTGTTAAATACATTTACTCTCTTAAGTGAAATTCTTCATGAAACCTTATCAGGGTTCACGCTGGAACACTCCCAACGGAATGTCCTGCGGCAAATGCCATGAGATTGCGTGCGGGTCGGAAAACACGGGAAAGTTCTTCCGTCTATTGCCACGCATGGGGCCCGTCGATTATTCAGCTTCCTCCTGCCTTGCGCGAGCTAACGATGGGGTCCGTGACTTCCTTTGATTAGGCCTTCATCCATAACAACAGTGTTCCCGCTTGCCTATACCCAGTGCGCCCGGCATGTGGAGCAATATCACGAACTTACATGCACATTTTGTTTGTGCTGTGAACATAAAGAGAATCGCGCTGGCGTGTTTGCTTTGTCTTTGACCCGGTCAGAGTACGGCTAGGTTCCGCGGCCACTGGTCTGCCCAGGTTCGACAGCCCCTGGTCTGCCCAGGTTCGGCGGTCATTGGTCTGCCCAGGTTCGACAGCCCCTGGTCTGCCCAGGTTCGGCGGCCACCGGTCTGCCCAGGTTCGGCGGCCACTGGTCTGCCCATGTTCGGTGGCCATTGGTCTGCCTATGTCGACAGCCACTGGTCTGCCCAGGTTCGGTGGCCACTGGTCTGCCCAGGTTCGGGGGCCATTCGTCCGCCCAGGTTCTGTGGTCACTGGTCTGCCCATGTTCGGTGGCCATTGGTCTGCCTATGTTCAACAGCCACTGGTCTGCCCAGGTTCGGCGGCCACTGGTCTGCCTATGTTCAACAGCCACTGGTCTTCCCAGGTTCGGCGGCCACTGGTCTGCCCAGGTTCGACGGCCATTGGTCTGCGGTCACCGGAAGCCCTGTTGCTGTCCACCGCCACCGTGCCGAGTCGCTGACCTGTGGTGAGCGGTCGGAACACGCCACCAGTCTGGACATGGGCCGCGGCCGGGCTGTGGGAGCTTGCGGTGTTCCACTGACTGGTGACATGGAGGGGTGCCACGGCTCCGGACTGTGAGTCAGGGCGTGCTGCTGTCTGGTGGTGGGGTGACACCGGACGCGCCTCGGACTGGCTGGTGACATAAAGGGGTGTCACGGCTCTGGACCGTGAGTCAGGGCGTGCTGCTGTCTGGTGGTGGGGTGACACCGGACGCGCCTCGGACTGGCTGGTGACATAAAGGGGTGTCACGGCTCTGGACCGTGAGTCAGGGCGTGCTGCTGTCTGGCGGTGGGGGGACACCGGACGCGCCCAGGACTGGCTGGTGACATGGAGGGGTGCCACAGCTCCGGACTGTAAGTCAGGGCGTGCTGCTGTCTGGCGGTGGGGGGACACCGGACGCGCCTCGGACTCGGAGCCAGCGGTGAGAAGGAGGTTTGGAGTCGCCCGGGACCATGCCTGTGCCCACGGATCAGCACGCCTAGATGTTAAGCCGATGTCTAAGAATGCTCTTTCCAAGGTTGATCTAGTCCAGATGCGTATGCGCGTAGTAGCCAAGGGCATGTGCAGCCCAGCACCGAATTTGTGCTGTGTTGATACTTACGTGACATAATTTTGACTGTTAACACTTCCGCTAGATACGTAAAAGTAAGGAGTATGAGAGCTGCAGTTTTATTTTACGACACGCAGGAAGTGCGCGCATCTGCGCCTCGCGCCTCGGTTATCAGCCGGTATTATTTTAGTTGTGTTCTCTCCCTCCCCCCCCCCCCCTTCCTATATGAAAGCCTGCGTGCGCTCCTGATCTGGCCAATGTTTGACTCTATTCGTGTGCTGACGCCATGCCTTGCTTGTGAATCGTGGAACAATCCGCAGAATTCGAGAAAAACTGTATTTGATTATGAATAGAGCAACAACAAGCCATACAAGCGCCACCAAGAGCTAGAATGCACCCTGTATTGACTACGACCTTGTGACTGCTGCTTTGCAAAGCGACATGGTGCATTTCCTTTCACTTCGCCCTTTCTGGCCCCTGTACAGCGCCTTACCAGATTTTCAACAGGCACACGATGTCGTGACGAGGCTTGATTCGGCTCGGTGTCCAGTCAGCATCACGATACCACTCGGTGGCGAGTCAAAAAGTGATGCACCAGGTCGTGACGGCCATCGAGCCAGAACGCCGGACCGACGAACGAACATAGGCTTCCGGTGTAGGCACCTGTTGCCACAGACCCAGCTGGGCGGCCCGGCTATCCGAGAGCAAGAGACCAACGAGACTGGGCGGTGATGGGAGCAGAGACCAAGGAGACCTCGGCGTGGAGACTCCCTCCCCAGGTTCTCTCGGGCAGGGACCTCGGCGCCGAGACGCCCTGCCCTGGTTCTCCCGGACGGAGTCCTCGGCACGGAGACTCCCTGTTCGGTGCTCCTGGACGGAGATCTTGGCGCGGAGACCCTTGCCCTAGTTCTCCCGGACGGAGATCTCGGCACGGAGACCCTCTGCCCTAGTTCTCCCGGACGGAGATCTTGGCGCGGAGACCCCCCGCCCTAGTTCTCCCGGACGGAGATCTTGGCGCGGAGACCCTCTGCCCTAGTTCTGCCGGACGGAGACACCGGCGCGGAGACTCCCTGTCCGGTTCTCTCGGACAGAGACATCGGTGTGGAGAGCCCCGACCTCGGGTCTCCTGGACGGAGACTCGGCTGTGACGACGCTATTCTCCGAATAGCGCGTCCACCGACATGCTCCGGCTGCTTGGGCCGCTGTCGCTCTCTCAGCCCGGATGTGTTGCTTATGTTGGTGGAAGCGGGGCGTGCATCCCAGAGGCGGAGGTGTATCTCAGCGCGGATGCGATACTGCACGCTACTTGCCCGGCGTGGACTGTCATGAAGCACCTAGTTTAGGGGCACTGCACACGCGAACTGCGGCTTCTACCGCTTTAGCCGAGGCCAGGCATATGTGCAGTCTACAAGGCACACATTCATTCCGATGAATTCATTTAGTTTTCTCCACAACGAACACCAGTTATGCTATTTATCGCGGAAGCGATGTGCGCGCACGAACTACAATGGCCACAAACGGTAATGGCAAAACTCGAACTGGTGCAAAGTGCCGCATACTCATAACTTATTATCCTACCAGAAATTAAGCTGTGCTCGACTGCAAACAAGGCATCGCACAGTTCCCTTAATGTTAAGGCGGCGTAGAAGGCGTGCTTCTTGCTGTTTGCTGAGTGAACTGCTCAGCCGAACACGTCCGCCCGTCAGTCCTCGATTCGTGCACCTGTCGTAAGTGCTGCGCGGCCGGCCGGTCGCCCCAATCCTCGGAGCCCGGGGGGGGGGGGGGGGGGGCGCGGAGACGGCCGGGGCTGCGCCGGCCCGCGCTATTGAGCGGCTCGTATACACGTGTGCGGGCGGCCCGTCCCGGGATCGATCGGGTTGGGCGCCGCTGCCGCCGCCGCCGTTCCGCGGGCCGGCTGAGGAGGCGCGCCCGCCGGCCCGGCTCGGCTCCGTCCAGTGCCGGCGCCCTCCCCACACGCCACGTCGGCCGGCACCGCCAGCGGCCGCACTTCGCGAGCATGTCACACCCCGGACTCCGATGGCTGGACTGGACGGCGCCGTCGGGTCCGGCGACCGAGGTCGGCTGGTCCGGCACGACACCCGTGGGAACGGGCTCCCCGACTGCGTCCCTCACGCTCGGACAGTGCCGGCCACCGTGCTCGGATCCGTTCACGGTGCTGGCGTGACGCCGCGAGAGCTTCTGAAGCCGCAGACACGGGACGCGTCCGGTCGCCTTTATGCTGTGCGAACAACGTGCTGGCATTTAGTAGCGACATGCTTAACCAAGGCAATGACTCAATGCAACTCAGCATGCACATTTCACATGGTGGCACTCATTTTGTGCAAAATGCGCTTTTCACACTCATTTGTACTGAGTGACGCTATGAGTAGAGCCTTCCTAAACACACATTCAGTGACAGGCAAACATCGAGCCATCTGAAAATAGCCACGCTTTCAAAGCCCGAGAGGAATGCGGAGGTGAATGTCCCCAACCATCTCAAAAACATCGCTTCTAATTCAACATTCTGTCAAACAAATACGCATCGGCTTGCAAGCTGTGCAACGTCTCCAGAACAACACAACCTTGCATGATGTCAGTCCTTGCTGGGAGACACTGCGACGACGTGCATCGACTGCTTACAACAAGGAGACATTTCTGAGACAATAAATACCCAGCATCTCCCCATTAACTCGAGAATTCGGCGTCACTCAGTGAGACACGCGATGCATCGGTTTCAGCGGCAGGCGGGCGAGCGCGCAGGCGTGGCACCGGCGCATCGAGGACGGCACGCTTCGTGGCTATTGGAGTTCAGCTGTCCTGCCAGCAGATGGATGATCTGGTTCACCCCGCTTCAGCCCCCGTGTTCCGTCAGGAGCGAGCCGTTCCGTCCCACCTGGTCGTTCCCAAGGCGTTTCGTTCCCGTTCCGCCGTCGCGTCAGGAGCGGGTCGTTCCGTTCCGGTCCCGTCTGCTCACGCTGACCGGCCGCTGGTGGCTCTGCCTGTAGCGCTGCACCTGGTCGTGCAGTGCGTGGAACCCCTCGTCGGCGAACCTCGAGAACCGCTTGCCGACCCCCATCTGGGAGGAGCGCGCCTTGGGCACGAAGCCTCCGTAGCCGGGGATGGGCACGGGCTCCTCGTCTGCGGACGGGGGCGGCGGTTAGCGGTGGCCTCGGCCGCCGAACAAGCCGATCGATCACGACTGGAAAGCGCGCTGTTTCGGCATGGGTGGGGAGCGCACGCGGGCCACCAGCTAGGGCAGCGGACCGTACCAATGAAGCCGTGCGGAACGATCCAGTGATCTGTTCAGGGACGTCGATACATGAAAAAGGACGCAGTCGAATGAATGGGAAGATGCGGATTGGCGAATGAACAGAATCAGACACCCATAGGATCAAACGGCTGGTGTGCTTAGCCTGTGGGCCAATGTTTAATCGGTTCCACCCGAAATCATTTCTGGCTGCACTCCTGAATCAGGTATCAGCACATTTTCGCCCATCACCGACGGTTAAGTGTCTGGCTCATTTTGAAACTAATCACAAATACATTACATGTAGTTTATCGCCCTTCACTTGTTTCATTTGAGTCTAATAAGGAGTATATGGAGGATTTCCAAAGTGCAGCTTTTGTTACCTTTATTCTGTTCAAATAGCAAAGCACAGATGCATTTGAATGACAGGGCGCCGCTGGCGTTAACCACTAACACATCGTTAAGACAGTAGTGTTACCTCAGAAAAACCAGGAGAATGGAGATATGATTCGGTTGATATTTCGGCAACATGCTTTTATTTGCATGTGCACGTCTGTATTAGCCTCATTTCTCGGAGATTACATTCTCTTTATAAGAAAAGATTCACTTATTTTCCCGTTTGGGTGGTCCTGCGGACCACAGGACAAAATAAATAGATGAGTCTGGGTGGACCGCAGGATTGGTGGACCACGGACCATCCAGACAGGAAAATAAGTGGATATATTCTTATAAAAAGCCGGCGACCAAATCTTAACATACGGGGCCCATCATGGTCAATTATACGAACGTGATATGTGACTCTATGTGTGATGTGAGCGACCTTAAAATTGTTTATATGTATAAGTGATGTCCTGACGCGTGATGTGCGATGCCTGTGTGTCCTGTAAAACTTTGGCTTGCTGTTTACTAAAAAAAAACTTAAAAAATCCAGCAGGATCATCAGGCAGGGCAATTTTGAATTCACCTTCTGCTACTGCTTCGATAATGCATGTTGCCGAAATATCAAGCCTAACTGTATCTACATTCTCCTGTTTTTTCCGAGAAATAAGGCTAATATTTTTGTCTTATCTACGTGAATAATGTTCCCCGCTAATGCATTGAACAACTTACTAACCCATCGTAACCAAGTCACTGGCAACGAATGGACAGAAGCCCGAAGTCCGCTTGATAAAGTCACGTGAATACGGCGTGAAAACCAAATGTGCGTTGCAGAATTTCAAGACTACTTTAGTTTCGATTTTTCGGAGTCGGCCTCTAGTGCGTGTTTGCCATACGTCAGCCGTGTCGAATGATCGCTATTGAGAGTTGACGCACAATCACTCTGACCAGACGTCCGGATGGCAGCGTGTTACAATTGGCCAGCATTTCGTTTATTACGTTCATGAACGCTAACTGCCTAGCGAAAGTTCACCGTTCTGACTTAAAGTATGCGCATGTTTAGCGCTTAAACCGATCGCGACTGGCTCTGTAGGCTGTGCAACTCAGCCTGTCGTCATGGCGTCGCCTGATGCGTCCGCCGAGGATAGCGTCAGCCACTCGGACCACATGGACCTCCCGGACCACCCAGACCACCCGGACCATCCGGACGACACGGACGACACGGACCGCCCGGACCTCCCGGAGCACCTGGACTACCCGGACGACACTGACCATCCAGAGTGCCTGGATCATCCGGACGAAACGGACCGCCCAGACCAAACGGACCACCTGGACCAACAGGACCACCCGGACCGCCTGGACGACCAGGACCGCCTGGACCACCCGGACTGCCTGGACCGCCCGGACTACCGGGACCACCCGCACCACCCGCACCATCCGCACCGCATAGACAGCCCAGACCACCCGGACCACCTGGTGGAGACCCGCGTCTTCCACCTGACTGGCAACAGCAGCCTGATCCACGCCGAGCCGTACCCGGTGGTTTTCGTCGGGTTCCGGCTGCGGCAGGCCAACAAAGCCGTGCTGCGGGTCTACAACAAGTCGGCTACCTCGCAGCGCTTCCACGTCGTTCCGCCGGCCGACCGCAGCGTCTTCACCATCCAGTACACCAAGGTGCGCTATTTCGTGCCGGGCTCCACCCTGAAGATTCACATCACGTTCACGCCGAGCGAGCAGCGCTTTCATGAGGATCGCGTGTTGATACACTGCGAGGACGAGTTCAACCTGCAGGTGCCGGTGCAGGCGTTCCCGAGCGTCACGTTCGCCGCCTTCCCGCGCCACATCCTGCTGCCGGACACGCCGATCGGCCGTCGGCTGACGCACCGCATCCCGCTGCTGGTGACCGCCGCCGTGCAGACGACCTTCCGCGTGTCGGTGGCCGAACCGAGCGCCGTGCTGACGGTGGCGCCGACCGAGGGCGAGCTGCCGCGCGACGGCTCGACGCTCCACCTGACGCTGACCTACCAGCCGCGCCAGTACTGCACGTCGCGCACCAGCCTGCAGCTGTTCCTCTCCGACTGCGGTCTGCCGCCGGCCACGTGCACGGTGGCCGGCCGCTGCGTGCCGGGCCTGCTGCGCGACCAGCTGGCGGCGGCGCGGCCGGCCGTGCAGCTGCGCACGCAGCCGGCGCTGCCGCCGGCTGGCGCGCTCGGACCTCGCCACAGCGTGCGCCTCTTGGCGCCGTCCGGCCGCCCGCCGGGCCGACTCGACCTGACTGCGCACGGTGACGTGGCCAAGTTCCTGGCGCAGCGTTTCGCCGCCAGCGTGGTGGTGCAGCAGACATTTTTGGACGGCTCCGAGGGCGCGCTGGCGGCAGCGTGCCGCGAGCAGGAGCGCCGCTTTAGCCGCGCCCGCCTGCAGCGCTCGGCGCGGCTGGCTGAACGCGGCGAGGTGCGCCGCGGCCAGCGGCCGCTCAGCGACGCCGAGCGTGACGCCATTTTGAGCGAGCGTCAGAGGCTCTGGCGCGAGTACAACAACCACGTGAGCAAGGCGGAGGCGCCGGCCGCCGCCGGACCGCCACGCGTCAGCTACGTCAACAAGAAGCTGCTGCGGGACGCGGCCGAGCCGCCGCTCTGGCGGCCGCCCACCTACGACATCTATCTGAACGACCCGTGGACGTTCCGGCTGGCGGCGATGGAGCGGTTCGTGCAGGCGGCGCGCACGGTCATCATCCGCGGCCGCGCCGACCGGCGTCTGGAGCGACTCCGTCACCTGGTGGAGCGACTGACGGAGCAGGGCGGCACCGACGGAGGCGAGGAGGACGAGGGAGATGGGGAGGACGAGGGAGACAAGGAGGATGAGGAAGACGAGGAGGACGACGGAGACGAGGACGGCGAGAGAGACGAGGACGGCGAGAGAGACGAGGAGGCTGAGGGAGTCGAGCGGGGTGAGGGAGACGAGCGAGGTGACAGAGACGAGGAGGAGAAGACGAGGGAGAAAGAGGGGGCAGGAGAGCAGAAAGCAGGCAAGTTACGGGCTGTGGATTTGACAGCGGATGAAGAGAAGGCTGAGAATGATAACAAAAAGAAGAAGCGAGAAAAAGGCAGACAGCACAATAGGAAGAAAAGGTGACCCGACGTGATTGCCACCTTGCAAGGACATGCAAAGAACGATAAAAGAAGTGTTTTCTTGTGCGGGCTCGTAATACGGCAAGGATTGTGCGGCGAACCGCATGTTCTCCAATGCAATTTTAAGCGGGCTAGATCGTGTCAGCGGAACATGTTTCTCACGGATAGGTATTTAGTGTTTCAAGCCTTTGTAATGGGAAGACATCGATTATAGCTTTGATATCCCACAGACAGCGATGGATTAGGTGGCAATGCTGGTCACGCTAGAGCCTCTGCAAACATTCGTGTCCACTCCACGGGGGCTTACATGCACGGCGTTACGTTAACAAGGACCACTGGAGGTCGCTGAAGCATGCAATGTGCCACCACAAACCGAAATTATGGTGCTAAAAGGTTGTTTGTTTGACTATGTTCAAGCGAGACCCGGCGTAGAAGGGCTCGTTAACAGTTACAGCCATGCATGGATGCATGTAATGTATGCGATACCAAACGTGAGCATGCCGATTCTTTTCCACAGTCATTAATCATTCTCCCAGTCCGCATGCATCTCTGTCAACCGGTGAGCACACACGCTACCTTTATGAAGAAGCACCTTTCGGCACTTCATAATGTGCCGTGCATGATATTTAGTCAAGGGATTTACCCCGAAATACTGGGTCAACAAGTCTCGGCCGAGCCTGTGCTAGCGTCAGACCACACCAGCTCACGCCGTCAGCCTGTGCGCTGGAGCCCGGCCGGTCGGCGCACTCCGTACCCTGGCGGCCGGCCGAGTACCGGCTGTACTTGGCGTCCAGGGCGCTGCTCACGGCGCCGTTCGTGAGGGCGGCGGCCGGCGCGGCGCCCGTCTCGCGCACCCGGCGGCCGGCTGAGAGCCGGCCGAGCGAGCGGCTGCGGCGCTCGCGCTCCTCGCGCTCGTGCCGCTCGGCTGTGCGCCGCTCCAGGTCGCTGAAGCAGTCGTCGGCCACCTTGCGGTAGTTGGTGCCGACCACGAACCGGCCGCCTGGTACGAATCCTGTGGGCGTGGGCGGGGGGGGGGGGGGCGTGAGGTCGTGGCCAGCATCAGACGCGGACGTGGTAGACATTCTATGGCGCAGACGCACCAGAATAAGAAGCAGACATGGCAGAACTGATTGTGGGATCGCTCGCCGGTCACCGGCCGCTGACGGAGACTGCGGTCGTGCATGTCTGACCAGGCGAGGAGCCGCGGCGCTCTGTTTCGGGAGACGCGCCACCGCCGCCGCCCGCACGGGACCGGAGCGGGTCACGGACGGGTCAGGGGTCGTGGGAACGGCGTGGCGAACTGCCACCGATCGGGGACGCTGGTGACGCGCTGCATCGACCCCGTCAGTCGACTGGGCAGGGTCACGGCCGAGGGAAGTGGTTCATCAGGAGAAACGGGCGCCATGGCGGGCGGCGAGCGAGCGGCGAGTGGGGTGTCTGTATGAGCTTCACACCAGGCGCACGTAACGGAAAACTCTGCGAGGTAGAGTCACGCAGGATGAACCAATTAGAAATGGCTGAGTTGGACATTGCCAGGCATGCAACGTTGCCGGATCTGATAATCAAAACCACTAGATGACAGTGATAGCCTCTAACGCCCACTGCATGAGCTCCGCTGCCCCACATCACGGGAACGACCTCGCCTCCCAGACCTGGCTGGACGCCAAGTCCCGCGCTACAGAGCGCGCTGTCGTGAGATATGTCGGCGTCTCTGACCCGCGCTCGTGACGTTGGACCCGCTCCCTGACTGTATTCGGGGCACGCTTGGCGAGGCCATCGTTTCCCTTTCGGAGAACGGATCAAATTGGACGGGCACAGGACAACGAGATGCCCTCATTACTCTCCGGAGCAATTGCCTCATGGTCTTATTGGGTGCTTTATCGGGCTTAAAATAGAAGGGACGATGATGCGCTCGATCACCTGAGTCGTGATTGTACCTGTCTGGTCACGTCAGTGTGATTGCGCGCGTAGCAACATTATCTTCCGCCAAATGTTCGGCCCTTGGCTTTGACTCTCGAGCGCCGTTACATTTTCATATACGGCAATACATACTAAGGCATTGTATAAATTACATACTACAGTACGTAATGGTGGTTGCTATTTTGATTGACAAGAAAGTTGCCGCTCTTCTCGTGGCAGTATGATTTCTGAAGTGCGCCCCAGCTGTGTTTCAGCTGACACGGTAGCGATGCCCAGCGGGCGGCCCGCCGGCCTCGTCTCGCGGGAAAACATCGGGCGCCGGAGCTCGGCCATGCCTGTGACCTTCGGCCGCATCATCATCGGGGTCGATTTTCACATGGGTGAGAAATCTCTGCGGCAATGAGGGAAACCATCCAACGCTGACGTCCCTGACATCACCTTTCATAATACGTGAAAGAGGTGTCCAATTATGTCTGTACATACCCTGGCCAGGACAGAATTCTTCAACATTTTGACCACTTGGGTGGCGGGGTAAATATCGACGCAGTAGGAATCGTTTGGCAAAAGTTGCAATCGTACCACAAGTCAAGGAAATGAGATAAGGTAAAATATGTCTCAATTAGTGGTGCCAAAAGTAATGATATTATGAGGTGCACAAAAGTGCATTGCGTATGCTGACTACACCGTGAGAAGGGTTTACATTTCGTTTTTGAATATTTTTACACATTTAGTCATCAGCACGGAATTCCACATTTTCTTAAGTCACGTTGCATAGATTAAACCACCCTGCAAACGACCCAAGACATGTCTCTCATCTCCCGCCGATGTCTTTTTTCAGTCACGAGAGACTAGCGCTACAGGTCAGCACGTGCGGCACCATTCACCGGTGCAGTGGCGCTGGCAGCCGTTCGGCCGAAGTGCGAGGTCCGCTGTGTGCGGGTCTCGGCCAGCCCAGCGCACCCCTCTGCATTGTGGTTCCGCTGTGTGCCAACCACGCGGTTCTGCAGTGTACAGGCCCGCCGCGCCGGCCCAGTGACGCCGTGTTTGCCGTCGGCAGCGGCCTGCGGCGTAGGTTGTGGTGCGGTGCCGTCAAGTGACGCATCGAGGCCGACCTGACACCGGCGACAGCACGTGTGACGTGTGACGTGATGCCGGCTGCAGGGCCGGCCGCGCCGCTCCGGCCCGGCACGCGCCCGCTGCGTGTGACGGGGTCGGCTGGAATCGGGGCTGGGCCAGGACAAGCCGACAGGGGACGGGAAAACAGGCTGCAGACAGATGTCTGCCAGGCATGCACTGAACCTTATACAGGGGTAGCCAGAGAGTCTTGCAGCCGCTCCTGGGACAGTGGTGCACAACTCTGCTTAAACACCCAAAGTAGCCAAACTTTGGTACTATATCTTCGAAAAACGCAATATTTTTGCCAGCATCTGCCGCTAGTAGGCCAGATTTTGCTGTCCTTTTTACCAGTTTTGTTCATTTCACGAATAACTGAAAAGCGCCCAGCCAGCCCAGACGTAAAAGATGTCCGCAGATGAACCCCCCCCCCCCCCCTTTGGAACTATAGCGCCATAACAACACACACCTGTTCTACAAAGCACTTTCACATGGGGGACATTTTGTTTGTTCTCGGCTCGCTAGCCAGAAGTACTCAGCACGAGGCGGCTGACGTCTGCATGGCGCGCCCCGCCGGACTCGGCCCACCTGTGTAGCCGGCGATGCCGCCCTTGGGCGGGCTGGGCCGGTAGGGGGCGTTGGAGACCAGCGTGACCTCTCGACCCCGGTCGACCACGTCGACCGGGGCCGACTGCACCAGGCCGGCGTCGGTGGCGCGTGGGCTCACCACGACATGACCCACGTGGGTTCGCGGCAGCTGCTGAAACCCGCAGATGGGGAGGTCAGGCCTTCTCGATGACTGGCGGCAGGCCGGGGACAGCAGGCGTGGCTGTAGGAGTCACCCGAGGCGATTCGCCTTGTATTAACAGTGCCGAAACCCGTTGACGGAATTTTCAGCGAGACCCATTAAATTCTAAAAACTCACTTAAGCGAATGGATATTTTTACGAGAGCCTTTCAGTCCGATTAGCGGGTCGATGGGTGGCAGAGACAATCGGATCCCGAACCCAAGCGGGACCAGTCGGCGCCTGGCGTCCGTACGGCTCTGACCCCATTGAGCTGTCAGACCCAACGCCCGCCAGAGGTACCATTTCTCCACTGGAGTGACGCAGTGACGCAGCTGACGAAGCCGGCAGGCAGACACTGTCGCTGTTACGACCAGACGACACTGCCGCCGTCACAGTCGGCAGACACTCCCGCTGCCACAGTCGACAGACACTCCCGCCGTCACAGTCGTCAGACACGCTCGCTGTCACAGTCGTCAGACACGCTCGCTGTCACGGTCGGCAGGCACTCCTGCTGTCACAGTCGTCAGACACGCTCGCTGTTGCGATCGGCAGGCACTCCCGCTGTCACAGCCGACAGACACTTCCGCTGTCACAGTCGGCGTTCAGCCGGTGTCTGGCAAGCTGCCGGTACACTTGGCCCGGACACCCGTCCGCCCGGCGGACGGCAACACACCCGGCGCACGTGTGACCTGGATCACAGTCGGCATAGCCAGCCATCATTGATCCTGACAGCGACGACCGGGCCGGCGGCGACTGTCACACACTCTGCCGTTGCCATGCCACTGAATGCCTGTCCGACTTCGGCATTGACAGTCAGTCAACCCAGCGGGAAACGCGGCCATGAGGGCAACGAGGGCAAACACGGACGGCATCGCGTCAGTGAAAAGAGGTATTCTACATGAGGGTGTAGGGGCATGTAGTCTTCTCCACACGCACACACGCGTTCACATGTGTATACATGCATGCGTATGTATGTGCATACGCAAGCAGGCGAACACGTGCGCCCATAGGTGCGAGAGTCTTACATCATCGTAGGTGGAGATAATTCCCAAACACCATCTAAATGTTCTAAACGCGTTGCGGCTTTCCAGCTCTCCTCCCCATTGCAGTCGCCTCGCCACGCACGGCTGTCCCTCCCACGCCGCTATCTCGCCGCCAGCGCCGGTCCCTCCCCTGGTCCCGTCACGGCCGACGCTGCCGCTGTTGGCGGCGGTCCCTCCCACACCGCTGTCTTGCCGCCAGCGCCGGTCCATTCCCTTGTCCCGTCAGGGCCGGCGTTGCCGCTGGTGGCGGCGGTCCCTCCCACACCGCTGGTTCGCCGCCAGCGCCGGTCCCTCCCCTGGTTCCGTCAGGGCCGGCGCTGCCGCTGGTGGCGGCGGTCCCTCCCACGCCGCCGTCTCGCCGTCTCGCCGTCTGCACTGGTCCCTCCCCTGGTCCCGTCACGCTGCCGCCGGCGCGGCGTCACGCTTCGAAGGGGGAGGGGCACGGCCCGTCGCGCGCACCGTACCTGAGGCGAGTGCTGCACCGCCCAGGCGTACGAGTGACCCACATCGAACTTGAGTCCCGGGCAGTGGCCTGTGTACCTGCAGAACGATACCAGGCTCAGTCTGACAGGTCGGGAGGGCCGGGAAGGTCAACCTAGACAAGGTCACGAGACGGGCGGGTTTCCAATCCAGCACACAAACTGAGCGTGCTCGGCTGTTGCTGGCTTAAAAACACACGACGATCCAATCACACGGAAACCCGCAATATTCAGTGAATCATTTAAAGGTCTGGGGCTGCAGGGATCCAAATGCCAGGAGGTCAGGTTACGCGGAATTTGGGTGTAACCTGTGTGTGGTTCTCAAATCGCTACGCGAATGTGCGCACAAATGCTCGTCAAGGTACAATGCGGTACAAGAGCGTCCCACACGGCCACATAACTTGTCAAATGGTGTGGGAGTTAGCGCGAAGTAATGTGTGGTTATCAAAATATCCAGGAG